CGCCACCGCAAAGAGCCGAACCTGGGGAAAGGAGGTCCCTTCTCGCTGAGACCCGGGGTCAGAACGGTTTAGGGTTTAGGGTTTAGGGTTTGGGGTTTTAGGGTTTAGGGTTTAGGGTTTAGGTCGTTTAGGGTTTTATATACAGGGTCTTCCCTTTCAGCATAGGGGGCTTTGAAAATTAGAAGTTACTTTTCGGGCAGTTTTTGAACATTTAATAACGGCACAGCAAAATTCGGTGGATTCTTAAACCCTCAACAAAAAAAAGCTTTAAACCCTAAGCCACCAGGTGAAGGACACCGACTTGGCACGCCAAAGGCAGCTGAACAAGGATCTCATCGCAGCCGCCTCCGGCCCTTACGCGGCCTTCCAGGTCGGGGTGTAGGGTTTAGGGTTTAGGGTTTAAGGGTTCCTACAAGGGGTGTATCAGATTGAAGGGGGAATCTAAGCACTAATTATCACTAATTGTGCTTAATCGATTTTGCAAGTTTTTGGAGGTTTACTCCAGAGGTTTGCATAACGAGTACTTTCAGGCTTCATCGGAAACCCTTATACCAGAAGGGCATTAGTTGAGGTTCGGGGGTTGTGGGTTCAGGGTTTCGGCTTTAAGGCTTGTGCGATTCCCGGTTTTGCCCTAAACAATAAACCAAGAAACCCGGAGCCGGTATGTGAGCTCCAGTCAATACTAGGGCCATGGATGATGGGTTCAGGGTTTAGGGTTCTGTGTGCAGATTGCAGATTATGTCTAGGGTTTTAATCAGGGTTTGGGGTTTAATTCGTCTGGTCTTCATGACGAAGCCAGGTCGTTTCAGTTCTATGAGTACCGTGGACAGCGGCTCACATGATTAGGGGCTTGAGTGATTACTTTTACATGCTACTACAAGTCCATAGGGTCACTTATGATTAGTATTCCAATAGTAGAAGTAGCAGTAGCAGTAGTAGTAGTAGTAGTAGTAGTAGTAGTAGGAGTATTACATGCCCCTAATCTTTATGCTCATTTTCCAGTCACAGCGACTGTGATGCTTCGTGCATGTCACAGGTTCACACCAATGTGCTTTGCAGGGTCATAGGGTTTAGGGTTTAGCCAAAATGCAAGATGCAGTATCCCTGAGCCCTTAACACTGAATTCTACAGGCTTGACCCTAAACCCAGACCCCAAGCGCTCAGCTTGATGTCAGGTGCTGGACCTCATCTCGAATAATTTGGAGACCATGAATGGCGTAAACCTGGCGACAGCCATGCATCGCATCTCTCGTGCCTGCCAGGTGGGACAACGATCCATAATGTAGACTACAACTAGTACTTAGTGGGGTGCTTGTCATATCAGCACTGCAAGAAGCCTGCAGGTGGATGGCATGGCTGGGCAGATCAAGGACTGGGCTTTGGAATACCATACTTTAATACTTTTTTGGCGGATCTGTTTCCTAAAGGAACCATTATGAAATAAAAGTCTATACTTTTTTCTCCCTGGGTACTTCAAAGCCCAGAGGAACACCCCATCTTCCTCCGCCTCTTGCACACCACTGAGAAGGTGTTGTGCCAGACACTGCCAGACGGCATGCCGCGTATCTAGGTTTTCCAGGGTGGGCCGTTTTCTCATTGTTCCTTAGAAAACTACCCTATGCCAAACAGGAGCCACTTTCATACCTATACCCAAAACCCTAAACCCCAAACCCTAATCCCTACACCCTGTACCCTTAACCCCAACCCTAAAAGCCCTACGCCGAGCATTCTAGGCATGCCGCCCAAGTGTTGCTCCGTCTTCGCATGGTCCTGTGCCAATCTTGGCATCTTCAGAGCCTGGGTCCATGATTTTAGGGTTTAGGGTTCAGGGTTTAGGGTTTAGGGTTTAGGGTTTAGCGTTTAGGGTGAATATCGGCATTGCCATAGTTATCATAGTAGTAGTACCAGCTATTATGAGTATGACTATTATATTATTATTTTACACGACGAATTCTTTTTTGTTCTTAGCTTTACTATTATTGATTTATTATCGGTATAGTTATAATTGTATGTGTACTAGTACCAGAAGTAACAATTCTTATTATCAATACTGGTAAAATGCAGATTAATACCATCATTATTTCTAATACTATTGTTACTACCATTATTTATCTTATCATTCTTATTATTCCGTTTAGTGTCATTAGTATTGTAGTTCTTGTTATTCTTGGCATTGCGTTTAATATTATGAACATGGGCAATACTACTATTTCTACAAGTATGATTTCCATTTTTATCACTACAAAAGTCATTGATATTGTTCTTATTTTTGTTAAAGTTGATGAGGCGAGTATTGTGGGTTAGTGTCGTTATTAATACTGTTCTTATTATTGTTTCGATTCAAGAGTGTACCTTCAAGTGACCACGACGTAGGCGTATACATATATATATATACATACATATCTATGTATATGTAAGCGGTACCTATCGAAAGTATACTACACTAGTATATACCTGAAGTCGCTGAAAGCTAAGCCCTAAATTCTTGGCCCTTAACCCTAAATTGCAAATCTACATATTCTGTTTACTTGAATACAACAAAAGCCCAGGAACCCAACTTCTTGCTCGGCTTGCGCTTACAGCCGCGAAGGGCTTGGAAGGCTGCGAGCCCCACGAAGCCACGCACTTAGTGGTCGTCTTTCCTGAGGTTTCGGGTTTATACGACGCCCTAAACCCTTAACCCCCTGAGCTCTAAACCCTAGGGTTTTTTGGGTTTAGGGTGTGGGGTAACCCTAAATAAGCCCTAAAACCCGAAGCCCGAAACCCTAAA